TGAAAAATGATATTAGTATTTTGATGGGGATTACATTAAATCTGTAAATTACTTTGGATAGTATGGACATTTTAATGTTGATTCTGCTGATCCATGAGCGTGATATGTTTTTCCATTTGTTTGTATCATTAACAATTTTCTTCCTTAGTGATTCATAGTTCTCTTTGTAGAAATCTTTCACCTCCTTGGTTAAATATATTCCTAGCTACTTTATTTTCTTTGTAGTTATTGTGAAAGGTTTTGAGTCTTTGATTTGATTCTCAGCTTGACTGTTGCTGATGTATAGGAGTGCTACTGGTTTGTGTACATTAATTTTGTAACTTGATACTTTGCTGAATTTATTTGTCAATTCCAGGAGTCTGTTGGTGGAATCTTTGGAGTTTTCTACATATAAGATCATATCATCAGCAGAGTGATATTTTGACCTCCTCTTTCCCTATTTGGATACCCTTAATTTCCTTCTCTTGCCTGATTGCTCTGGTTAGGACTTCCAGCACTATGTTGAATAGAAGTGGTGACAGTGGGCATCCTTGTCTTGTTCCAATTCTAAGTGAGAATGCTTTTAGTTTTTCCCAATTTAGTGCGATCTTGGCTGTGGGTTTGTCTTATATGGGTTTTATAATTTTGAGATATATATCTATGCCTTTTTAGTGAAGAGTTTTTATCATAAAAGGGTGCTGAACTTTGTCTTTTCTGCATCTATTGAGAGTTTTATATGATCTTTGTTTTTGTTTGTGTTTATGTGGTTAGTAACATTTATTGATTTACATATGTTGAACAATCCTTATTTCCCTGAGGTGAAGTCCACTTGGTCGTGGTGGATTATTTTTTTGATGTTCTGCTGAATTTGATTTGCTAGAATTTTGTTGAGAATTTTTGCATCTATATTCATAAGGGCATTTGGTCTATAGTTTTCTTTTTTTGTTGTCTCCTTTCCTGGCATTGGCATCAAGGTAACTACATGTAGAAGACTGAAACAAATCTCTTACCACTCAAAAAAATTAATTTAAGATGGATAACAGACATAAACCTAAGACATGAAACCATGAGAATTCTAGAAGAAAATGTTGGAAAATCTCTTCTAGATACCAGCCTAGCCAAAGAATTTATGAAGAAATCCCCAAAGGTAATCATAGCAACAACAAAAATTAATAAATGGGACTTGATTAAATTCCTCTGGACAGCCAAAGAAATAATCAACAGAGCAAATAGAAAACCTACAGAATGGGGGAGAAAATATGCACATGATATATATCTGTTAAAGGGCTAATAACCAGAATCTACAAAGATCTCAAGAAAATCAACAAGAAAACATCAAACAACCCCATTAAAAAGTGGGCAAAAGACATGCTTTTCAAAAGAAGATAGATGAATGGCCAATAAACATATGAAAAAAATGCTCAAAGTCACTAATCGTCAGGGAAATGCAAATCAAAACCACAGTAAGGTATCATCTAACCCAAGTGAGAATGGCATTTATCAAGAAGTCCCAAAACAGTAGATGCTGGCATGGATGCGGAGGGAAAGGAACACTTATATGCTGTCGGTGGGACTGCAAACTAGTACAACCTATATGGAAAATAATATGGAGATTTCTCAAAGAACTAAAAGTAGACCTACCATTTGATATAGCAATATCACTACTGGGTATTTATCCAAAGGGAAAAAAAATCATTTTATCAAAAAGATACTTGAACTCAAATGTTTATTGCAACACAATTCGCAATTACAAAGATGTGGAATCAATCCAAGTGCCCATCATTTCATGAGCATATTAATAAAATGTGGCGTATGTATACATGGAGTACTACTCAGTCATAAAAATGAATTAATACCTTTTGCAACAATCTGGATGGAACTGGGGACCATTATCCTAAGTGAAGTATCACAGGAATGGAAAACCGAACACCATATGTACTCACTATTAAATTGGAACTAACTGACTAGCACTCGTGTGCACAGATGGAAGTAAAACTCAGCAGAAATCAAACAGGTTGGAGCAGGGAGGCGGGATGGCTGAAGTCATACCTACGGGTACAGTGTATACTATATGGGTGATGGGCACACTTTTAACCTTGACTCAGGCAGTACAAAAGCAATGCATGTAACCAAAACATTTGTACCTCCATAATATTCTGAACTAAAAAAAAAAGAATAAAGTGCTAACAGCAGGTAATAGGCTTTTGAAGAATGAAGAAAAGGTTTTTACACTGCTAGATTTTAAGACTTATAAACTATAAGAATTAAGACTAAAATATTGGTGCAGGGAAAGGCAAATAGACCAGTGAAACAAAATGACCCAGAAATAGACTCACACATATATGGAAACTTGGTATGTGACTAAAAGCATCACAAATCAGTAAATAAGGTAGAGTCTTCAATAAGTTGAACTGGAACAATTGGGGAAAAGTAAAATTTGATATCCTACCTTTATTAATATGTAAAAATAAATTCCAGTTAGGTTAAAAACCTAAGTGTAAAAAAGAAAGACTTTAAAGCTGTCACTTGAAAAAAAAAGAAGAATATTCTTCCCTTTTAAAGAAGGAAGAAGGTAAAGGTAAAGAAGGACTTTTTGGAAAACACAACAGAATATAAACATAAGGGGGAAAAGATTAATGTGATTTTATTAAAATGTTCATATCTCAGAAGATCCAATAAACAAGGTGAAAAGACAAGTCTCAGATTTAGAAGATATATTTGTAATAGATGTAACTGAAAAAGATTGGTATCAAGCATAAATAAAGAATTTCTACAAATCAGGAAGGAAGAAACAACCTAATGGAAAGAAAGATCAGCAAAGGATATTATCAAGCAATTTACAGAAGAGGAAATAGGAGTAGCCAATAAACAATGATAAGATTCTCAACCTCCCTAGCAATCATACTAATGCAAATTATACTATCCTGTACTCATCAGATAGGCAGACTTTAAAAAGGATAAAAAGTCTGTATGTTGGCAAAGATATGGGGACCTAACACTTTCTTACATTAGTGGTGGGAAAATAAGTTGATTTAAGCACTCAGAAGAGCTATTTTGCAAAATCTAATGAAGTCAAAGCATACCCAGACACCTGGAAATTTTTGGTCTGGTATATGCCTGACATACTTTCATATAAATGCACAGGGAAGCATGTTTAAGAATATTTATTCTAATACTGTAATGGTGAAAATTACATGTGCATTATAACACTGTTTATATAAAAACCATGTAGGATTTTATATACTACTTATAGATATATAATGGATAGTAAAGTCATATAATTTTCCAGCATTCTTTTAAACACCAAGTGATAATAAAGGTTACCTCTGAAGAAGTGTGTGAATGGACGGAGGGATATAAAAATGGAGACAGAGAAGCAAAGAAGGCAAAATGTTAAGAGTTGATAAAATCTGAGTCTTATCTACATGCATGTTATGTTTGTATATTTGATATTCTTCATATTAAATTTAAAATTAAATTACCAAACAAGTTGCACGAATCATATGTGTCTATATAGTATGTGTGTGTATATATATATGTACATTTTTAAATTTAAAGTTTCTTAACAAGGATATGTGAGATCCTTTCTAAAAATTCTCTCTAATATGTTCTGGATCTTGCTCATATAAAAATCTTATAAAACAACTCTTCTATATATAAAGAAATGGACCTTTAGTAAAAACAAACCTAATGTCATGTCCGTATTTGTTAGTAAATTAAAATGGCTAAGTATTATGGAGAACCTCAAAATTAATTTATCTTCAAATACCCTTTCTAATGTGAGCTACATGGGCTTGTCTTATAAATGATAGAAGTTATGTTGAATCAAGTATAAAATCAATATAAGCTTTTTTTATTTTGCTTAAATTTAAAGAAATGCTCAACAGTGAAATAATTAGACTTAAGTCTAATATCCCACTAAGGCCTGTTATAACTATTACTTTTTTATGTTGCTCTAAATAATCTTATTTTATATGAAATACTTTACTACTTTCTCAATGAGAATCTTATCTGGGATTTGACCAGATGTTTTGCATTGTCATCAACACATTCTTCACCTTTCCCTCAACTGGTATTTTTTAGTTTTTGAACACTTCGAACAGATTTAACAGTGGTTTTATAATACCTTGATGTTTTATGATATCATCTGGTTAAAATGTTTATCAAGGAATTTTGCTATATAAGTTTGAATAGTTTTTCTTTTAATTTATAAAAGAAAAACTAGAAATTTGAATATTTTACATTATTTTGCTTTTTACAATTCTTCGTGGCAGACATGTCATGAAATAAGATTAGGACTTTTAAAAGATGTTTTGGGTGCCATGGTTATATAGCAGTCTAGCATACCTTTGGTTTCTTTAGTGGTGAGACCGTTTTTATTGCACAGGAGAGATGAGCTTAAATGGCAGGAACATGACTAGAAAGTACGTGTTATATATGTTTCAGTCAGCATGTTGGTACTGACAGGTGCTCAATGGTTGTTGGTATCCTTGTCAGCAAAGAGAATCCTTTGACATTAAAGTCACCAGCTCAATCCTGATTTGGGGTGACTCTATTGGCAGTTCCATCAGGCTGCAGCTGATCAGTGAATGTCAGAGCTGCAGCTGTTCTTCTAGAGTGTCACCAGCCCCCTGTGGGTTTTTTGTTTTTTGGTTGTTTTTTTTTTTTGGAGGGAAGGATGGTTTAGCTTGTCTTGTTCTGTCTTAACCAGACTTTCAAATTGCTTACCTTTGGGAAATGAAATGAAAGGTCATAGGGAATATAGGTATCTTTAGGGCATGCAAAACCATATACAAAGTGACGACTTACATGGAGACCAGTAATGATTACCTTGACTCCAAGCCAATCAATGGCGAAGCCTCTGGGGACTCATTAAATGGCATTTGTGGAATCTGTAACCTAGGTTTTGAGCTATACTTCAGGAAAAGCAGTGACAGCCTTTAATGTCTAATTGACCTCTTCTCTTTGTTTCACTTTCATTCACTTTCCATATTTGCCTCTGATGTGGTCCCCAATGGCAGCAAACGGCACTGCTCAGCATTTTGAACTTCTGCTCAGAGCTCCAGCACCTAAGTTTGGGCAGTTGTGTGATGGTAAGTATTTGAAAATTCTTTATACGACTCAATCACTGGTTCTGTTTCTTTCCATGGGTGAATTTTCTCCTGACCCACCCACCGTACCCCATACTCACCCACAGTTTTTCAGATTTATGCTTAACTACTTTGTTCTCCACTTTCAAACACTTTTCTTAAATTGGAGAGTTTGTCTTTGAAACACTGACATTATTTATCTGCCAGAGCAAGGAAAAGAAGTATTGGTGTGGTAGAAAGAGCTCAGTTCTGTACCAAGCCAGAGGTTATCTCAGACAGGCTATTTACCTCTCTAGGTCTCTTTACAAAATGCCAGTCATACCCAAATGCCAATAATTTAATAAGTTTTTCACAAAGCTAATTTTGGTTTTTAAATTCTGATATTATTTCCTGGAAATGTTAATGATAGTAGATAGGTTTATTTTGTTTGTTTATTTTTGTGTTTGTTTTACTGCCCTTCCTGGATAAAACAGGAAGATTGACATCCTATGTTGGAATTCAGTTTTGGGGAAATTTTGCTGGTCTACAAAATACAAAAGCCTCAGAAGTGTTGGGCTAGATAAGCTCTAAAGTCCTTCCAGATTTAAAATTATGATTTTATGTGCCCTTGAAAGAGCTCATGGGAAGAATTAAATCTTTTTTGTCTAAACCACATAATTACAGAGCTTATAAATAATACTGAAACATAAAGGAAGGACAGTAGAATTTTCATGGGGGAGGAGCACCCACATTTGTGCCTCTCTGTGTGCGTGTACACATGCATGCATACGTACTCACGGGAATTGAATCTTCCAGTATAACTGACTATGGAGCAACCATTCTTCTTCACTTCCTCCCCTGCCAAACCAAGGCTAATGTCGGAGATCCCCAAACCATTCCAATTTTGTATCCAGTTAGTAGGAAGACCTGAATAAGCAGGATGGTTGCAAAATTTTACAGAAGTTCTTCTGGTATCCTAGGCTTGGAATCAACATGCATGGTCCTTGACCTAAAGTAGATACCATCTACTAAGGATTAGAACATCCTTAAGAGCTCAACAGTGGCTTTAGAAATGCCTCAAGATTTGGCAATGTGGACTAGATAGGCCTCTTATAATGATTTATTTATCTCCATGTTCCCATGGTCTTTAATCCTTGTGGTTAAGTCTTAATAAACCCCAACTATAGGCTCAGGCCATCCCAATCTCTGAAAACAATATTGGGAGCACACTAACTTCTCCTTACTTATGGTCAAATTCTAACCATAGTAAGCCATTTCATAGGCTTCCGTGTGTCTCTCTAGAGGCTCTTCCTGATGGGCCTGGTGACATCTGATGTGCAACAAACCAGCCAGTACTACCACTTATACCTTTACTTATGGCTAGCCTGCCCTCTTTAGATTGGTAAAGATCCTGTTTAACTTTGGCTGGACATACCTTATTCTTGTATGTAAATATTCCGCTTGTAAAATTATTCCGTTTAAACTGGAACAACATTCCAGAAAAAGAAAAAAAAGAAAAGCAAGCCTGTGACCACAGATGCATTAGAGTTGTAATTATATATGTTTATAGTTGGAATTATATTTATTTTATATATTTATATTTATTTTATATAATTTTCCAAAGTTAAGCCATGAAAAATTAATTCTGAAGGATATTCAATTAAAAAGGTGTATGTGTAGGAGTGGAATGGAGATTCCTAATCAAAATTAAGAATCCTATTATCTCCTCCTCCTGGAGTTGTGTAATATGTGGTACAACAAAGAAATGGTTTACCTTTGCTTAAACCAGTATTTTACAGCCTTACCTAACTGCTAAACTCATTTTTCCATATTACATTATATTTTTGACTGTCAATATAATAGCAGTTTTAAAATTTGTGATACTTATGAAGCTATTGTCCACATAAATAGTGCACTGTGTTGACTTTGCATGATGATTATGATCTATTATATGTCTTCTCTGTTTGTCCTCTCATGGCACACTTCTTTCTGTATTGAATGTAATGTAGACACTAAATTAGTTGAGCCACTTTTTTTCTGAAACTAATCTTTATGCCACAAGCACCAGTTTAACAGATCTATAATGACAAGAACTTCTGAAAAGTAGTATCTTACCCATAATAAGCCTAGATATTCTAGTCAGTGCCATAAATGATTTTGTAGGACTCTCTGGAAATTTTTATTTTTTCTCTTGATTGAGAAAGAGAATTAAAAAAAATTTTTTTGAATAGTCATACCTTTGACTTAAAATTATATCATCTGTGGTAATGGAAAGCAGTGAAAGAATCAGAAGTTTGCTTTAAGTATTCATTCCAGCCCACTCTTCTACCAAAGCTTTCATCAGGTTTGTAGGTAAGTGTGTTAGAATTAGATTCAACCACCAATGAGAGAAAAACTCCTAATGACTATGCTTAAAAATATATAGTTTATTTCTCTTTGATGCAAGTAAAGTGTTAGAGGTGAGTAGTCCATGCTGTTAGGGTAGATCTACTCCTTAGATTCCTAAGAGATGGTAATACCTAGCTTACTGCTTTGCAGTCCCTATGGACATGCATTTTACTTCATGGTTGAAAATGGGGCAACAGCCATTACATCCCATGTCAAGCAGTAGGGAAGGGAAAAAGAATGCCACTTTCCCTGAAGGATACTTTCTAGAAGATGCATTTTTAGCCTTACTTCCTATTATTCAGAACTTAATCATATGATATACTTATAGCATGAAAAGCTGGGAAACATAGTTTTTATTGTGGGCAGCCATGTGCTCAAGTAAAATTCAGAATAAAAGTAAATAACTTTAACTAAGTTATTGTATTAACTTTTGTATTAACTTTTTAAATTATTGTATTAACTTTAACTAAGTTATTGTAACTGAGTTGTGTATTTCTTTTCTACCCAATTAGTCCTAGGGAGAGGTAAAAAATAATTAAATGACCCATTGATAAGCCAAGAGAAAGAGAAGTAAAGAACATATATAATACCCTAAATACCCTAACTTGGTAATTAGCCTCTAGGTCTGTGCTATCCAATCTAGTAGGTAACAGCCACGTGTGGCTATTGAACACTTGAAATGTAGGTGGTCCAAACTGAGATGTGATATAAATATAACATATATACCAGATTTTGAAGACTTAATACCAAAAAACTAACATCTCAATATTGATTTTATTCATAACATGTGGAAATGATAGTGTTATACATAAACAAAATATATTATTAAAAATAACATTTTTTTTAAAGTGACTGAGTTAAAATTCCATATGTGATTTGTGTCATATAGTGCTGCTTGAGGTAATTGAAAATTGGCTAAATTAAAGAATCATAAGACCTAGCTTTTCTTAAGTTTCCTACCAATTGTGTGATCCTGGTCATGTTACCTAACTTTTCCTCTGTAACCTGTGTCATTTTTTTTAGTTAGATAATTGAGAATAAATGTGTCTAATCTTTTAGGATAAAAAATTCTATGTAATTTCTATAATTCCAAAGGGCTTATAATTAGTAAGGGCGGGCCCCCCGCCCTTACTAATTTTTAGGCCCCCCGCCCTAACTAGGTTGCCTTCAGTCCAATAACAAATATTTGATTTTATTCTTATTTTCCCAGCCCTGAATTTCTTTGCGCCTGATGGGTGTAATTGTACTGTGAAAATTTCACAAAAAAAAACTTTTGAAGGAATTTTGCACTGTATACTATGCTGGTAGAGAGTTAGTTCATATGACACTGAAATTGCCCTGGTACAAATTCAGCACACTCAGAATAATGGGTTTCAGAATGTTTTTGTTTTTGTTTTTGTTTTTGTTTTTGCTAAGGAAGCTAATTGGCAGCTCTAATTCTCAAGCCTGTAATTTTATGTTCAAGTATACTCACTTAAGTGGTTGGTGATATTCTCCTATACCTGTTTCTCATGGACTTCTGCTTGATTCTACCATACACAGAAGACCAGAACCTTAGAAATTATTATCACTATATCTAATAAGCCTTTGGTTTTGACTCAAAAATATAGCCCCAAAAGTGTCAGATTTCTCCAACCTCTACTGCCTAATCCAAGCCTGTCATCTCTTTTCTAAACTATTGCAGGCATCTTCAGTGGGCTTCCTCCTCCGTTCTTACCTACCATAGGCCATCTTCCAGGCAGAGCCAGCGGTGTTTTTGTTTTAATGTAAATAGTATTATGTCACTCTTTTGCTTAAAACTCTCCACTGACTTTCTTAGTACTTGAAATGAAAATCCAACTTTCTCATGGCCTAAGTGGTCCAGCCCTTGCATAATACTCTGCTTTCATAGCCTGTCCTCCCCCTCACCACCCTTGGGCCATGTGGATCTCATTTCTGTTCCTTGTGTGTGCCAAGCTTGCTCCTGGAGATCCCAACAACTACCATCCCCTCCCTCAACTCCTGACACTGCGATCACTCTCACATCACCCTATTTTACTATTTTTGCACCATTTATTACTCTTTGAATTTATTTCGCTTGTTTATTAGTCTGTCTTTCTCAAAAATGTGGGCAACATGACTGTTTCTCGGTGTACTGCTATTCCTAGTATCTGGAGTGGTACTGGCACACAGTAGGTACATAAATATTTGTTGAAAATAGGAATAAACAAATGAACAAAAGGAAATAACTATTGTAAATGTTTAGTATTTTGTTTCCTTTTGATTTCTGGTGGTAATTATGATACCTGATTATAACAAAGTCAAATGAACCTCTTAAAAGAACCCATTTAAAGAAACATTATTAAAGCATATAAAGCCCAAGAACTGAAATGTTTAATCCTTGATTAACAGAGGCTTATCCTATAATCATGAGATAAGTATTGGGTACCCTCACTAACTGACAGTGATTAACATGTTATAATCTAAATTATCCTCATGTTGTATGTTCAGTCTGCAAATGCCACATTTATCCCAAAACTAGTATCTTTATTAGAACTATCAGCATTTCCACATAGTGTTTTAGAACCAGGTACACAACACCTCTATCAGGTAGATCTTACATGCCTACCAAAGTATATTAATCATATATAAAATACAAAATATTAGCCTCTGTCAGTGAGTAGCAGCAGTAAGGTTGATAATCCTCAAATTCTTCATGAGAGACTAAGGACTTCAGACTGCTTTGAGATTTAATTCATTGATATCTTATGTCTGGAGTTCTGTTAAATGGATTTTTAAGTAAGTGATTATTTACTCTTACTGTTTTATGAAGCAGTACCAGATTTATGAGATGAGTGGGCAGATCTGTATTAATAAGAGTTTGAGTATGTTTACATGGAAGCAAACAATAGGAGATTATTAAGAATGTTCTAACTTACTCTAAACAGTTTGCATTTCTGAGTATAACATGTAAAAGATTGAAATTGTTTGATTTCCAGATTGAAGACTATGACGTGATAGCTAGCATGATAGGAGCCAAGTGTAAAAAACTCCGGACACTAGATCTATGGAGATGTAAGAATATTACCGAGAATGGAATAGCAGAACTGGCTTCTGGTTGTCAACTTCTGGAGGAACTTGACCTTGGCTGGTGCCCCACTCTGCAGAGTAGCACGGGGTGCTTCGCCAGACTGGCACGCCAGCTCCCAAACTTGCAAAAACTCTTTCTTACAGCTAACAGGTCTGTGTGTGACACAGACATTGAAGAACTGGCATCTAATTGTACCAGATTGCAGCAGCTGGACATATTAGGTAAGGATACAATATACAAATTGACATAGAAGCTAATTTCAGACTCTTTGTAAGGCAAAAAAAATTCTTGGATAAAATAAAAATTTTGTCCTGAGACTGCTTGGTTTGATAGGAAATACAAGATAGATCAATTAATGTGGGGAATAATTATATATTTACTTAAGTAACAGTGAGAATAACAACAGAATTGTATAGTTGAACCTATTAAAAGCTTTAAATAACCATTAATTGTTAGTCTAGTTAGAAAAATGAGAATTTCCATGAGCTGTTTCTTCATTTTTATTAAGGACAGAAAATAAGAAATGAATCTATTTGCTGTTTGTGTAATGAATTCAAGTTAGATATTTTCCAAATAAGCTTCTTTAAAATTTAAATTCTTGATTAAGGAATATTGTGAAATTTTCATCCCTGATAATTCTAGTTTTTAGGAATAGTCCTTTCCCTGGCAAATCCATTGAAAATCTTTTCCAGCTCTGGGATGCCTTGTGTCCTTACCATAAAATGTGATTTTGTTACTTCTTACTTTAGCCAGGGTTGCTACCAGGGCCACAGTTATCATGGCCCACACAGTTGTTACTTTGTGAACTCACATTGCACTTGCACATTTCACATCAAATGCATTGTGAAAATCATTTGGAACTGGGGTGACAGAAACAGGAAAGTCTGAAGGAGCTGATTTAAAGGGGTAGGAGGTAGGAATGAAGATGGTGGGTAGGGCATTTACAAGATTCAGGTCCCAGATGCCAAACTGGTGGGGAAATTCAGTTTTTATTTTTTTAACAAGACCATTTCAATATACAGTCTTTTGTTTTTTTAAAAAATACTTTTAATTTTTGTAGGGTCAATGTTATACTTAAGATGTTTTGTTTGGTTTTGTTTTTTTTTAAACAGGAACAAGAATGGTAAGTCCAGCATCCTTAAGAAAACTCCTGGAATCTTGTAAAGATCTCTCCTTACTTGATGTGTCCTTCTGTTCACAGATTGATAACAGAGCTGTGCTAGAACTAAATGCAAGCTTTCCAAAAGTGTTCATAAAAAAAAGCTTTACTCAGTGACTTGATATATATTCTGTAGTAAGTTAATGTGCTTTTGTAGGGTTTTATTTTGGGGTTGGTTTTGTTTTTTGTTTTGTTTAGTTTTTATAATGGTAAGAATTAAGACATTTGTAGATTTAAAAATATGAAATTGTGCATTAAATCAAGTAAAAATGTACACAAATGTTTTCACAAAATGTTGCAAGCACTTTTCTTCAAGAATATGTGAATGGATGAAATTATTTTTACCTTATGTTAATCAGTGATATGCTTTAACCAATAATTATATTATTAATAAAAGAATAACATGGAAACATGTTAACTTATTTTTAAATGAATACTTTGAGCAACACAGTATCATGATATTTATGTAAAAAATAAAGTTAATTTTTCACACCTCCATGTAAGAATGCCTTATTAAGCCTATTACCTGGGAAATATTTTGTTTGTATGAACAAAATTGTCAGAGCTAGTTAGAGAAAGAGACTTGTTTTTTTCATCCGTTAAGTTTATTTTTTCAAGCCGATATATAAACTCTTCAGCTGGAAAATGTGTAGTTTTTCTAGCCAGGTGGTGGCATGTGCCTGTAGTCCCAGTTACTAGGAAGGCCAAGGCAGGAGGTTTGCTTGAGACCAGGGGTTGGATGCTGTTGTAGTGTGCAATGATTGTGCCTGTGAACAGCCACTGCACTCCAACCTAGGCAACATAGTGAGACCTCATCTCTTAAAAAAAAAAAAAGAATTATAGTTTTTTCCACTTTTCTTCTAATATATTTATCTATTTCACTACTGGATAATACCAATATAAAAATATGGACATAATGAAGAACAAGAGGTAAACTACTAAATGAAATAATCTTTCCAACTGTTAAGCAGATGCCTTTTTAAAAATTTGCCACAGGGAAAAGTTTAAGGCTTCTGAATTGTGTGTGGATTTTATTTATATTTTGTCCTGTGCTCCAGCACCTTAAATATTAGAAATCAACTACAGTGTGGGGGCATTGCGGGGGGGAAAAATAATAAACATTGTTTTGTTAAATTATGAATTGACTTTGTTCTACTAAGAAAGTAGATATTTTGTGTCATAAAAAGGCAGGGCTGCTTTGAATAGAAAACTAATATTAACTGTGTAGTGTAACAAAATTCATTTTTCGATTCAAGGCAAAATTTATATTCCAACATGCAGATGTGCTAGAGTGATCTTGTAGAACTGTACTGTCCATTACAGTAACCACTAGTCATATGTGGCTATATTTTATTTAATTTTAATTAAATTTAAGTAAAAATTTACTTTTTCAGTTGGACTAGCCACATTTTAAATGTTCAGTAGTCACATGAGGCTGTTGGTAATTATGTTGACAACATAGATATAGAACATTTCCATCACTGCAGAAAGTTTTATTGGCTAACACTACTCTAACATTTCTTCTGTTATAGGATTTATTTATTTAAGAAAAAATACATTTCATTTAAAAATTAGCGCAGTTAATATCTCTGGACAGTTTTCAAGGGTATTCTCAATAGTACATATGTGAGAGCACCTTTTCCCCCAAAGTTCTTAAGCTAGTAAGTTTATACATAAGGCAAGTAGTAGGCATATTTATTGAATGAATAAGAATACAGTATATTATTAAGTCATATGTCAAATTTTTAAAGTGTAAATGTTATAAATTATTACTAGTGGTGCTGTGTTTATTCTTTTATAGAATGTAAATAATGTAATATTGTGGTATGTAACATGTTAAAGGATTAATACAATCTCTTCTACATTAAAAAAATGTGTGTGAGAATTGCTGTCCTGGTCATATACATAGTGTGCCCCACCCAGTCTTCTATTTGATCAAAGAAGGTAAGGGGCAGTTGGAAAAGGATTTTGTTGTCCTCTGTTGTTATCTTCATGCACTAGGATTTTCTTTTCATCCACAAATGTACATAAACATTTTAAGTATTTTATTCAGTGGACCTTTGGAGGGAGGAGATGCATTGTTTGACTACCAACTATGTGAATTCATACTTTTATCTTAAACTAACAGCTAACATTAGGATGATGTTTACTTTATTCCAGGCACTATTTCACAACAACTCCATAAAATATATGCCATTACTTACCCATATTTACTGATGAGGAAATTGAGACAACCAAAGATTGAAAAATTTATTAATGATTATATAGCTGTTAGTGCAGAGCCATCATACAAACCCAGGCCATCTAGCTTAGAGGCAGTGCATTCAACCTATGCTTTAAGTGTCCAGAGTGGCTTCTGGTTCTACAGCAGAAGTCAGGAAGCTTTTTCTGTAAAGAGCTGGATATTTTAGGCTTCATGGGCTAAGAGGCAAAACTCAGATTATTATGTAGGTACTTAAATAACCAGAGAAAAAAAAATTTGCACAGAAATTTTACTGGCAAAATTCAAAATGATAATAACAGAACTTTTTTTATAATACGGTTTTACTAATGAGAAGAATTAAATACTTTGGGAGAGGACATTTCACTTAATTGGGGCTCAAAGTTAGTGTTTCCTATCATCAAAATTGATTATAAGTCTTTATCTGTTAATGCTGATCTGTAATAAGATTTTACATATTTCACCTTTGAAAATGCCTTTTTGTACAGATAGGTATTGCCAAGAATATTAATCCATAAGATTATGATTTTCAGTGGTCATGTTCATCACTGGGAAGGCATTGATAAAATTCTGTTAGTTTATTTCTTTTCTTGATATTTTCTTTTTAGCATATTTGCAGATTAATCACTTAAGATTGAACGTTAGGTGAAAGCCCCTCAATTGCACAGTTAAATGAATTTTGAAAAATGTAAATTTCCTTTGCACTTGCATCAAAATTCAAATACTGCTGGAACTGTAGCATGAGTTACAAATTTGTGTGAGAATGGAGATCCTGCTTCTTTGTCTTACTTTTTGATAACATAGGAAGTATATAAAGTAGTTTATCATTACTTGTGATTCAGTGTTAATTGTCATCAAAATGACTTAAGTATGTTTCACATATAAACACTTCTCTTGTCTTGTAATTTTTGGTTGAATTCATTACAAAACATTATCAAGTCTGCAGCAAAAGCCAAATTCCAAAGCCATTCAGTGTTCCATAATAGTGGTTAAGGATATTTCTTCTTATTTAGAAAAATTCCAGTATCATCCCTGAACTCAAAAACTAACAATAGAGCTAACAGTGCTGTGCCAACGAACTGCCATGTGGTAAGGCAAACCAGAATATTCATCTTCTGTATCAGACAAGAGATAATGGAACTGTTGATGGTTAAATCTATGACTTAAATTTTTGTGTAATTATTTATCTTTTAGCATTTTGCTAAGGTAAATTATCTTCCCAGAGGCTAGTAATAATGATATGTTCTTGACCCTGTTTGGGAACATAATTAAATGATCATCTCAATGTAAATTGCTCTGAATTAAGATCTTAAAAATACACAATGTAGACAATATTCAGGTGCTTGGTTTTGAGCTAATATGTAACAAAGAAAAACTGATTTCTTTGTGAAATTACTTTTATTTTTTGATGTTTCCTAGGAATGAACTAACAACTAAAAACTCATATTTGCAAGTGTAGTAATGCTAAGAAGAGTCAGTAAAAATTACATTTGGCTATCATGTATATTAATAATGAATGTTTGGCTTTTCATTTTTTATTTTCAGGCATTAAAAGATGCCTGTTACTTACAGAGTAATTTTCATTTCCAAAGCCATTTATCACACATTTATCAGTGTTACATCTAGTTTTCTCCATTTAGCACATTTGATATTTATACTTCAGAGAAACTTTTCTTTTTAACTACACTGAAAATCTTGTCACTGACCATTAACTGCTAATCATCACCTCATTTGCCTATTGACAATATACTGCTAAAAACCTAGGCTTCAAGTATAAAACCATAGCTGTTAGACTAGTTTTTGGCAATAGCTAACATTCTGTTGAGTCATTTGCTTTAATCAGAGATCATGATTTATTATATATGTTTTATAAATGTGGATAGAGTCCAAGATTTTTTCTTTGGCACAGCAGAAAGTGTGCCTAAGATTTTTGCCTCTAAGTCTAAATTTTTGGCTTAAATTTTTGTACATATGAATACTATTAATGGTGTATTTGACTACATTTTCAATGGAAAAAGGTAGTTTTGTGGAAATCGATATTTTGAGAGAGGTTCTTATGTATTTGGTAAAGCAATACAAATTAGTGAAGTCTTAGTTACAAAAATTTGAAGGAAAAATTTAAAAGCAAAATAGTCATATGATCAGGTAAGTTGACTACACCAAAGATTTAACAGGTATTTGTTACAAATGAAGATCTGTACAGACAACTAACGTGTTTTAAATTTTATTTACATAAAAATGCTGTTCAATGTCTTATGCTTTGTGTTGTTTGTATTAGTCTGTACTTTAGAGAATAATAAGAAAAGCTTAAATATCTCATTAGCTCACTTTCAAAAGTGATCATTTCAGGACACTGCTGAATATAATGGAAGTTTTCAGTAAATAGGTTTGTGTCACAGCTCCTATGCAATTAGATGAGGATAAGCCTGGAAGATCTACATGCAGAACAATAACAGTCCATTCACACACTATGAAATGATATCAGCTTGGATGCATTTTAAACCCTAAAATTACATGAGTCTGCCATTAAACTATAAACTGAGTTCACACTGTTATTTATTATACTTCTTTCTACCTTCTCAGTAACTCCTCCAAAGTAAGATTTATTTACTTAAAAGTTTGTTTGGTTTGTTACTTAAAACATCAAAGTTTAATACAGAGTTTTCCACCTTTTACTTACAGAGTATCATGTATTTGCTTTCTGTAGAAACTAATCTCTTCATTACTGTAGTTCTTAAGTTGT